GGCCCATCCACAGCTCCAGGTGGTTGGTCTTGGCAAATCTCTGCAAGGCACGGATTCCGGATTCATCGAGCAGTACCAGGCAAAAGTTGATGTCGAGATGGCGGAGCGGCTGTACAAGGCGTGGGGCAGAATTCCGCGCTACGTACTGGAGAATGCCAAGGTAGGAAGGCTTGTGGATGTGTACGCGGCATGTGTATCGAACGATGGGTGATCTGCTGTCTGACACTGAGCGGAAAGAGTCGGTTGGACAAGAGTATGTTTGCCGCCAACCAATGTTTGCTGCTCCCATCTTGCTGGTCTGCGTCCTCCAGAACCCGTCAATGCAGCGGAAGCTGGACGACGCCCTGGGGTCCAGTGACCTACTCGCTGTGCTGCGCTCGGTGAAGCAGATCGAGGCCGCCCCTGAGGCGAGCCACAAACTACTGCACGTTCAGGTGATGCCACGCTGGTTACTTGCCCCCGCGGTCGTCCTTGTTTGACCCCCATAGCACGCTCACGCCCGCCACCTGATGTGCGGGTGGACAACGCATGTGAGAAGACCGAGGTGGTGTTTGGCTCGGACGAGATCATCAACCGTGTGACTGAGAAGCTTCAGGCAAGATTCATGCATGCATGCTAGTATCGATAATCAGCTGCGCATAGCATGGAGCCCTTGGTAATCTTGTTATTATGCTCGTAGGCGAACGGCATGGTGGGTCTGCGGCAATTCCTGACCTGGTCCGCGGGCGAGCCGACGGCAGCCAGCCTGCGGGGCCTGCTTTTCCAGGCTTACGCGTTTCAGGTGCTCGCACGCGGGGGCACGTTCCGGGTCAGGGACCTGACTGCTTCCGCAATTGGTGGCGGCATGCCGCATGAGGCGGTGCTGCCGCAGCTGTCGCGCCTAGATGTGCAAGACCTTTCAGCAGCAAAGGCTGGCTGCCTGGTCATTCCGGCACGGAAGAACTTCCCGGCCATCGACTGCATGGTGGTGCTGGCAGCCCACGGAGGCGTCTTGACACCTTCCAAGCGGCTGCTGATGATCCAGCTTACCATGGCGGCTTCGCATTCGGTAAAGGAAAATGCGCTGGCGGCGCAACTGAAGCTGCTGCCGCTGACAATACGACGTCTGAAGGCGGTGCTGCTCTTCACCATGCCGCCTGACGTGTTCGACCGCATTGGCACTCAGAAGACATCGGGCACGGGGCCTCTGAGCGACATGCCGCAGTATGCGCTGGAGGTGCCCATCAGCGGCTTCAGTGAGAGCACTAACATGAGCAACGCCAGCAGCGGCGTGAACACCAGCAGCACCAGCAGCATGCAGGACAGCCGCCGCAGCGGCCACGTTTCACGTGAGCGCCGCAGCGGCGATGTGAACAGCAGTGTGGTGCTCGTGCGCCCGCACCTCAGTAGCTGCCTGCCAACGAGGCTGGGGTGACGAAGCCTGCCGCTGGGTGACGTAACGCGCCAAGCCGTCCACGGCGCCATCGTCCCCACGCGGTCACTGGGGGCCTGGTGATTGCGTTTAGGGGGCCTTTTTAGTTATTGCATACAAGGCATGAGCGAGGTCCATGCTAAGACAGCGTGGAGTTAGGTGCGTTGCAGGGAGGGTCCGGGGGGGACACCCCGACGAGGGGGGTGCAGCGAGGGCCGAGCCGCCTCCGCTGCAAAAAGGGCATTTCGATGGAAGGTGTGGATAGCCAGGGGAGAGGGGGGTAGTTGATTCCAGAAACCAAAAGCCAATCGACCATCGCGAAACCCAGCACCCATAGAGGGAGGAGGAGAGGGATATACTCTTGTTCTTGGTGATAATCTTCAGGGAGAGGGAGGATGCACCAGGGGAGGTGAAGGCCAGGGGAGGTTATGGTGAAGGAAGGTGAATTTGTTTTTCGTCAATGTCTTCTCTTCGGCTAGGCGGGGGCATATGGATTAAAAGGGTCTTTACTTGGTTGGTAGGTTGTGAAGGGCACGGACGTGTGTTTTCTAGGGTTTGGTTGCGCGTGTGTGTACGAGTTGTTGTGCAGATCATCATTACAGAGAAGGAACTGCGGGGCTGTGACAGCAGGGGGATGGAGAGGTAGAAATAACCACTGGTTTTGGGCGTAGGAGTTGACTAGGCCTTCTTGGCCCGGCACTTCAGCTGCCGGGCCTGCATGATGTATGTGTAGGCCCTGGGCGGCACACACTTACTCGACTAACGAGGGGGCCATCCCCATCCGTGGAACCTGGGTCGCTGATGCAAGCAAGGAAACAGGTGTGCGGCCTCACGAGTGTAAACCGCCCCGCCATGGCTTTGCTTTGTCCGGATTGCATGAGAGAGTTACATGCGCATGGCTCAGCCACACTTGCCTGCTAGCTGTGTTCTGCACTGCACATGCAACTAGCGCATATTGCACCCACGGATCTCCTGTTGGTTCGGTCCGCTCACTCTCAGCCCGCTTTGCCAGCACCTAAAATGCCACCTGACGCGCCTCTCGCAGCAAGCAGCCAGCCACACCAGCCAGCCACCACACCTCACACTCATTCGTGCCTTCCTGCAAGCACAGCGCAACCCAATCACGTCCGTGTTCTTCAAGTGCACCCAGCCACCGCGTGCTGGCAGCACCGCCGGCACGCGACCTTCTCTTCTCAACCGCCAACGGGATATCAGGCCGACCGCAGCCCGCTGTCTCAGCTTCAGATTCAGCGAGCCTTGCTTTTAGCCCAGCGGTGCCCTACCTAATCGCACAGGCGCAATCCTTGCGACAAATGCTGCCGAACGCAGCTGCTAGGGTGCGGCACTAGACGGCTGCCAGACCGCTGCAGCTGCGTCTTTATGAGCTGTGACCATTCCACTGTCCTGATGGTGAAGACGTGAACAGGGGAACCCCTGAACGCTATCGAATATGCATTCACACCATGTATTCATCTCAAGTTCATGCGGGCATCAAAGCCCATGCCTCAAAACATGCGAAAAAACACGGCACGAACCGTGGCACCCGCTCACGCACACGCACTCACTCCCTGTATCGATTCGCTGTGGAGGACAAGCGGCACCGCCCGCCAGAGATGCAGTTGGTGCAGGAGGTGACAGACAGGATGGCGGGTGGGGTGAAGTGACAGGCAGAGGCCGCGCAGGAGCAGCACCAGGTGCGGCGCGTTGCTCGCGCTCTTGCGGCCACTCAGCAGCAGGCCACGCACGCAATTGAAGCATAAGAGCTACCCGCCGCGCCGGCGCCCGCGAAGAAGCCTGCGGGGGGCAAGCGTGGCGGCAACAGGAAGGGCAAGCGTGAGCAGGTGCGTGGCGAAACACACTTCGAGGTATCACACTTCGAGGCGACCAACAAGTACGTTGGTGGCAAGCTACAGTTTTAGTAATATTTTATTAACATATAAGGGTTCCCTAAAGCGGAATGGCTGCCTGCGAAGCAGCTGCAGGAGGACCTGAGCCCCGACGCCTATCGTGCGCTGCACAAGGCGATGAAAGTAACCTGATGCATCCCGTTTTATACATGTAGCAAAATATACTGATTTCACTGTAATCTTTACATTGTCGCAGCTGGAGTCGACTCCGTGAGTATAGCCCCGATTTTCCCCAAGTTTTCCCCGAGTTTCCCCCGAGTTTTCCCCGAGTTTTCCCTGAGTTTCCCGAGCCGCCCCTGCGGCCTGCGCCCTGCCCGCGCGTGCCCACCAGCGACTATCATGCACTCCAGCGAGTCCCACCCGCGCTGCAGCCCAACTGTCAAGCGTGTGGAACCGTGTGCGCTCGGAGGCAGCTTATGGAAACCGGGCCAGCCCCATGTGTCTCTCTGAGTTTACACGCAGCCCACACACGCAGCTTCCCAGACGGCATGCGCACGACTATGCACTCCCACTCGCGCGTCGCGCCAACCACCACACCCGCCGTGCTCAACCGTGCTCAGACGCAGCTTCCCAGACGCGTGCACGCTCGACTGCCAGCTCCCACTCGCGCGCCTGTCGACTAGCACCAACTGCCCGTGTGCGTCACTACAGTCAGGTAGCTTCCGAGTCGGGCCGCCGTGCAACTACCTGCTCATACTCGCGCAGCTGCCGACTACCACGCTACCCCCTGTGCGGCTGAGGGGGTTTGGGGTGCCGTACACGAGTTAGTTGGGGGTTAGTCGGAACTGTCCTAGAACATACATTATACTATTTTTCGCAGGGGCCTGGGGGTGTGCTGCCAGTTGGCGCGGCGGGCTACTGGGAACGGGTAGTTGCGCAGGCGGCCGGCTGGGAGCACGGTTACATATTCAAGGGCGGTGTTTTAAATGGCGGCGCTGCGAAGCTGCCTGTTGGCGCGGCGCATGATTGGGAGCCGGTAGTTGTGTGTGGTGGCATCTGAGAAGCTGCGTGTGGTACTTTCGTAAGACTTAGATGAGGTGCATGGGGCTGGCTCTCTTTCCATAGGTGCATCAGGGTTGCACACGCGTCCACACGGACTGCACTGAAACTGGCGCGGCGGTGCGGCGCCAGCCGCCCCCGCCGCGCAACTCAACAGAAATGCAGTCGAAATCCAATTGAAATTCAACCGAGCGAAACCCAACCGAAATACGGGCGAAATGGGGAACCCCGGGTCACTTTCTAACGGCCTTCCGCAGCACCTGCTCGCGCTTGTTCCTCCTGCTGCCGCGTTTGCACACAGGCTTCTTTGCAGGCGCAGCTGGTGGTGCCTCTTGAGTTACAATAGCGCGTGTAGCCTGCTGCTGAGTTGTGGCAAAAGCGCACGCAACGCGCCGCACCTACCTGGTACTGCTCCTGTGCTGCCTCTGCCTGGCGCTTCACCCCGCCAGCATTTCCGACGGGCGGTACAGGCGTCGCTTGCCCTCCACGGTGAACCTATAACCCTCCTGTCGAGTCATGGTGTAGATCTGCTGCGAGTTCCTGTAGCTCTTCGTAGCGAAGCGAAGGAGAATCAAAGGGAAGGGCCGATGCGGGGGCGTGTGTCTGTCAGACACAGACACAGATTTACAACTGGACCCTTGGGGTCTGGATACCCTCACCGCCACCAGGCAGGCACGCCACCAACGCAGCACAAGACCACCCAGCTCAGCCACCGGTACCACAACGGCTAGAACGAAAGACGTGACAGGGAAGGGGTGCGGGTTGCAAGAGATGAAAACGAAGTCCGAACGCATTGTGACACAAACAGCCAGACAGATCATAACCCACCACGCCAGGACTACAGAAAACGTGAGCGGTATGTCCAAGCCGAAGTACCATACAGTCACGACGAAACCACCCTGTCAGGCCCATACACGTGGTGGCGCTACCAGTGGTGACTACAAGACCGACGTAGAACGAAATACCGATGAGTCGTGCGTGGATGAGGATTTTGATGATGATGAGGAGGACGAGAAAGAGGAGCAGAAGGGATGGGCGGCCGCGGCGGCCAAGGCGCTTGGCTTTCGCTGAGTGTGCCGTGTCCCCGAGTGTAATGGTTCACGAGAAAATAACGAAAATAACGAAAATAACGATTTACAGGGCAAAAAAATGCATAGCGTCACTTTCTACAGCGTTTCAGCCAAGGACAGTGCCCCCGTAAAGGTTTTGGGGGGGTTACGGGGGCCCCCGTAAGGTTTTCGGCCGGTACAGGAGCCTGGTACGGGGGCCCCTCCGTAAGGAAAATTAGGGAGGTACGGGGGAGCCCGCAAGTTTCAGGAAGGTCAGTGTCGAACCCTGGCTACCACAGTGTGCTTTCACCAGAGTACTCTGGCGAAAGCCTGACACCCACCCACGCCTTCATCGCCTTCCGGTCTAGGAGCAGCACATTAATACCACAGTCATTACCCCGTATAGGGACGCTTCGGCTCCTATGGATTCTAGCAGCGCTGCTAGCCTGGCTATCTAGCGCACAGCTCAGCTCGGACACACCTTCAGCGACCAGCCACCTTCAGCCCTGCCAGCACGTTACGTAGAAGCTTTCCATCTACCAGCACTGCAAGCTATCTCCACCTTGTGCGCTGGTTCGCGTTTGTATTAGATGTGTCGCACATCAAAAATTTATGTATGAGACTATTGCGCGCCGACTGGGTCCCCTGGTGGTCTAGCTGGTCCCCCGTCCTGCATGAGGTGGTGCGAACTGTGCGTTCTGAGAGGAATGAACACATGAGGTGTGCTGGGATGCCGATGCGTGGGAGCCGAGGCAAAATATAAGAAACGTGGGCCATTTCACCTTTGCCAAAGTAGTCGCCCCAGACGCAGATCCCTGAACATGCATGGGGCCTCGGGCGTACTGCTGCCGGTTAAACAGTACTGGCGGCGCACGTCATGCCTCTCTCATGTCTCTCTCATGTCTCTCGGCCCCTTTGGCTGCCCCCCACAGACTCTTCTTCCATCGTCCGCTGAACCACTTTGCTGAAACAGCAAAAGTTTGGCACTTCAGTTCCTCTTTAGGACACCGTATTCGTAGTTACAAAGTTGCTCGTTGCACTTCAAGACTTCTCGGCAGATTTCGCAGCCATGGGCAGAACAAAGAAGGCAGCTGAAACTAAAGCCAGTAAGCAGCAGACCGCTAAGAAAAAGGATGACAAGTATCAGCAGATATCACGCAGCACTGCATCCCCGGGGGTTCACAAAGACATTTCCAACCCCCAGCACCCCAGCGGCAAGCCGCTCTCCGCCGACCGTCTTCAGTCAGCGGCGTGTGCCCTCACCAAGTCCGGCATCAGCCTCTCCTGTGGGTGCGGCACACAGGTGAGGCTCTGGGCGGTGAGGTTCGCGTGTCACCACCTCGCCGTCGCTGACGACGCCCCCAGGTCCAGAGCTTTGGCCACCGCTGCCGTGGCCGACGTCATCGCTGACCCACGGCGCCGCCAACGTTGTCGCCGCCCACAGGGCCATGGTCGGCGGCGCTCGCAGGCACTGAACGCGCCAGGCACTGGCGGTGGTGACAGAGACGCCGCAGCGGTGGTGGAGTGCGCCGCCGCAGCCGCCCCCGCTTGCCCACGTTCGAAAGCTGAAGCCACCAGCGCTGCCGCTGTGGTGCCTGCAGGCGCTGCTGTGCGCACCACCGCCGCCACGCTGGCGGTTGTAGTGAGTGCCTCTGGTTGCGGTTTGGGCCGAGGGCCCGTGTCCATTGGCGCCAGGAAGCCCGAGCTAGGAGCCCGGGTATGCTGCTCGTGGTGGCCGGCGCTGTGCACTGCGTCGGCCCGGTGCCTGCACCCACGCTAGGTGATGTGGGGGCCGGCTCCCCGGGCGCAGGCTGCTGTGGATGCTTCCCTCGGCAAACGCACGCTCACAAGTCGTTGTCGAGGACGGTGAACAGGTTCACCTGCCGCCTGCCAGGCCCAGAACCAGACTTCTTGGCGCCACTCCCAGCTGGCGTGGCCTTGCTGGCCGCTGGTCGGCTGCCTGCCGACGTTGGTGCTGCACCCTGCCGGCCCCCACCGCCTGCACCCGGCCGCCCGCCGCCACCTGCGCCTGGCCGCCCGCCGCCCACGCTAGCAGCAGCAGGCTGGCCCTCCCCGCCACCCTGCTGCAGCGCCGCCTGCTTCTTGCGCCAGCGCCGCTCTGCCGGCGTCAGCTTCTTGGCGGCCGTGAGCACCGGCAAGTCCTTCACATTGCCCACGATGACACAGTCCGCGCTGTCCGCATGTCGCTGCCGCCACCACTCCACCACGTGCTTCTGGTGCCGCTCGCCCAAGCCCACGAACCACACGCACTGGAAGCTGCCGGCCGCCACCTGGAAGGCGGCAGCAGCTGCGGCTGCCTCTTGCTCCGACAGACGGTGCACAGGCTCGGCTGCTGCAGCACTGGACACGCTCGCAGCGGACGGAGTTTCCGGCTGTGCGCCAGCAGGCGACAGCCCCGTCTCTGTGCTCCACTCCACCGCATCTGTCAAGCCCCCGTCCGCTGAGCCCACACCCGCACCCGCACATGCACGAGAAGCTGCGTCGTCGCCTGGCACACTGTCGCCTTGCGTGGCCGCAGCGGTGGCGGGCTCCTGCCCGGGCGCGCGTGCGGTGCGCACGTCAGCGCGGTCAGGCGCCAGGAAGATGTAGGGCTCGTGCTTTGGTCCCACGAACACGGGGGGCGGTAGGCCCGGCGTGCAGCCGTTGTTCAGCCATTCCAGGTAAAAGGCCTTTCGCGACACATACTGTGCAGGACAGGGGGGATGGCGGACGGGTGAGCGTGGAAAGCAATAGCGACTGTGAGAGTAAGGGCCATCCGGTCTGTCGTCAACACCCCACCACCCCATGTGGCCCCGTGGCCCGCCTCCCGCGCACCTGCGGCACGAGGATGAAAAAGGGCCTCCCGCTGGCGATGGCGAATTCAAAGGTGGCCTCGATGTGGTCGCCGGAGAAGGGCGGGTTGGTGACGAGGACGTCGAACTCGGGCGTGCGCTTGGTGTCCCGCATCTGGCGTGACGCGCCACACCGTGACGGCGGCAAGAGACAGCATGCGAGTGCGTCAGCGGAGGTGGACTGAAGGCCATGCGGCGTGTCAACACTGCTACCGCCACCACGGATATGTTTGCCGCAGTCCGTGTCGCACCATCCCGCCATCCCGCCGTCTCTCCGCACCCTTGCCCGCCCGTGGTCCCCCTATGGTGCGCGTGACAACTTGCTCTGGTGCCCTTTTCGTGGACTCCTGTAATCTTTTCTGAGCATTCTTGCTGCCACCCTTGGTCTGGTCTCCTATGTTTCTACAACCCCCCTCTCTAAACTGAGCGCACGGCTCACCGCGTAAAAGTCCTCGTTCCTGTTGTGCACGCTCTCAAAGCCCAGGCTGGCCATGTGTGCCAGCATGCGGCCCTCGCAGAAGAAGGGGTCGTAGATCCGCAGCGCCGCCTTGGTGGTCCCCAGCCGGCTGCACGCGTCCAGGAGACGGGGAACGGTTTAGGCGGGGGGGGGGCCGTCCAGACCGGGGGACGCCAGCCACCACTGACCCGTAAGGTGGTCCAAATCAGCCCATCAGGGATGCAATGGTGAAGGGGCAGCGATTGCGCATTGCCGCACGCTGAGCATGGCACAACAACTCAAGCACCTACGTGGCGAGTCGCGCCAGCAACGGTTCTATGTGCTCGTAGGCCTGTAAAGGTGTTTCTGCGTGGTCACCAGGCTCTGTAGCGAAGCCGTGCACCACGGAGGCGCATGCCTGCCGATGGGCAAGGCTCAGTCCACCAAGTTGCTGCTCCACGCCAATGGCAGGGCCTGACTGGTCTGCGTCTTCACTATCGCACATTTCCCCGCTGGCCCCGCTCTGGGCCTCACGGACGACCCGATAACGTCCCAGATCAGCAACTCAATGCGGAGTTTGAGTGAATGGAACTGGGTATGTGCCCGAAATGCATTCACATTGCGTGACCGAAATGTATTTCAGGCGTGACCGCTTTGCAACTTTCCAAGCTTGCAACTTGCTCAAAATACCGTAGTGCTACTTATAGTTCGTGATCGCTTTGTTCGGGGAGGGGTCAAAAAACTTTCTGAAATTTGTACGTGCTCTTTGAATTTCGGGGAAGGCCGGACCAGTTTTTGCGGGCATGATACAAATTTCGGGGCCCCTTCCAAAGTTTCGGGGCTTTTCAAACTGCAGCTTCCAGTCAGTCTCCCTGAAAGGGATTGGACTCCGGTTCTCGTTGGGATGTCACGTTAATTACAAAGAGGGCCGAGCGACTTAAGCCTGCTACTAATCCACAGGATGCAATAACGATGACATAACAATCTAAACAACAACAACAACGACTTAAATAGTTATCCAAAGCCTAGGCGTCTCCGAAATGTCGTACATTATCCCTAATCCAAACGCGTGTCCACGAGTCAAGTTAACGACTTAACGAGGGGGGTCCTTGTGAAGCAGCTGCCCGCGTTTCCAAAGGCTGTAAGTTGGATGATCGTAAGGTGTGCAAGGACATGTGCTAGGAACGGAATGGGGCCAGGCTGGCGAGGCGAGTGCAGCAGGAGAATGGATTGTGAGGCTTGCATACGTGGCTTACATGGCGATTGGCGCACGGCAAACTGCAAGTACATTGCAAGATGTCGTTGCGGGCGCAAGTTTGCTAGAAGCACAGGAACCACAACCAGAAGAAGAAGAACAGCAGCACAGCAACAGCGCGCGCACAGGACACGTCGCGTCGTGTCTGTGCAATGAAGGAGGAACAAAGGAGTAGTCCTAGAGTGGCGATCCTTGTTGCGCGCGGATGTCCATGCCACGACAGGCAACATGATGGGTGCTTTGCACGCTGCCAATTTGCTTCCGAGCACTCGAAGAGCGGACATACAAAGCAGCGCAACGGGCCCCCCCGCTATCCCTCAAACCTCACGCAATAGTCCATACCAAGCGCTGCCGTCCGTAAGGGCAGCAGCTGCCGTTCACACACGGGTTAAGGTCGGACATGTATGCACCGTGAACGAAGGCCTAAGGGCGATCGTGCCCAAATGAAACAGCACTGGCGCGAGTTTGCAGCAGGAGTGGCAAGCGTGCTGTGTGGCAGGGTGCGGCGCGGCAAGGCGGCAACTAGCAACGGAAGATGAGGCGCATACTTGAAAGACAGCGGCCGTCTCGGCACCCCGGATGGCGTGGAGCGAGCGCGGCCTCCGCCTGTTGGCGACGCCGCTGCTAGTTGCGCCCACAGGTCGGCGATGTGGACGGGCGGCTTGGCTGACGCGCCGGCCGAAGAGCCCGACGGCCCGCTCGGCGAAGGCGCGCCGTAAGCGCCCAAGTCGGTGGGCGGAAGGGACTGTTGCGGGAGTTGGGATGGGCGAGCCAGTTTGGGAGGCATGTTGATCGTGGTTACCAAAGTAGAAGTGGGGTCAGCGAAGCGAGAGGCTGGCTGGCTGCCGACCGCGAAAGCGAGTTTGGTATATAAGCTTAAAAATGGAAAGAGGTGAATGTATGGAATGGAAGGCGACACAGGCCTGCATTTATACAAGTCGCGGCACCGTACGAACCGGACGCTTCAAGGGGGCTGGGTGAATCGGAAGGGCGCCGGAGGAGTCGGTACGTCTTCGCATGGTGAGCATGGGCGTCGGCAGCTGCGGTAACGGGTGGGGCGCTGTGACAAGCGGAATGCGGCAATGAAAAAAGCGCCATGGAAATGGCAGGCGGACAAGCGGAAATGTGAAAGCGGCGTGTTGCTCCCAGCACATCGAAAAGCTGTTGCATTCCAGGTGCGGCGTGCAGCTCGCCCGCTCGTCGGTGAACGCGAGCTCGGACAGGAATGGGGTGTAAAGTATGGAATGAATCAAGGTGCGCTAGGAGGTGAGGAGACGGGACTGGTTCATGGTGCTGACGGCGCTGCGCAAGTGCATGGGCGTGAATAAACTTTCGGAAATGGGCTATGTTACGAAGCGCGATAGATGCTCGCGGCCGGCGAAGAATCCCCGGCCGGCCAGCCAAGACGCAATCGTTCAGTTTTTAGCGTCGTGTTGCTCCCAGCACAGCGAAAAGCTGTTGCATTCCAGGAGCGGCGTGCAGCTCGCCCGCTCAGATGTGAACGAGAGGTCGGACAGGATTGGGGTGTAAAGTATGGAACGAATCAAAGTGCGCTAGGTGGTGAGGAGACGGGGCTGGGGACATGGTGCTGACGGCGCTGCGCAAGTGCATGGACGTGAATAATCTGTCGGAAAGGGGCTATGTTATGATGCGCGAATGTGATGCTCGCGGCCGGCGAAAACGCCCGGGCCGGCCAGCCAAGACGGAATCGTTCATATTCATGGAAATGCACGTCAACACCAGCCGGACGAAAGATGCAGGATGTCGGCTAGTACGCGCAATATCCATATCGTAATTGCAAACCGCACAATAAATGTGAAATGCGTAAAACGTCAGGAGCCGCGATGCAGTGATTCGCGCAGTAATTCGGGGCGGGCACATGAAAGGGTGGCGCATGCGTGCAGCGGATCGAAGGACTGGCGAGGAGCAGGATGTCACGAAATGTGTCCATAGCGACGGGTGTGCGGCCGGTTGTCGCGGTCCATACGAAAGAGTAAAAAAGCGGCAAACGGCTGTGCGCCCGCTGGCAGAAAGACGAACAGACCCAGCGAGCTGCGGGCGACACTGGGAAACGTACGCCGCGCGCAGGCCGGGGTGGTAGCTGAAAAGCCAGGACAGCCGACACGCTGACAGACATGACTTACGTACTGAAAAGAGGCGGACTAATGCGGGCTAGTTTAGACGACAGGTCGTGCGCCAGTACCACGGCCATGACCCAAGCTATGCCACTCCCTGTTTCTTGCCTTACCTCGTAAACGCAGACCGACACCCCTTGACCAGAAGTGCGCCACATTTTCATCTGCTGGCGCACATGCATGCTTTGTGGACTGGTGTAATGCGACCAACTTCAATTTGTGCTCGGCAAGCGCGCCACTGCGTACCGGATATGTTCGCGATGTTGCAGAGACGCTGCACCTCGGCTTCCGTGCGCAATGCGTAAGATGTTTGACCCCGCCGACCAAAACTGCACGTGCCCAACTGAAGAAAGTTACGGTGGTTGTCCAGCAGCTTCTGAGCCTGCTGCTTGCTGAGGTCCTTCCGGAGCTGCTGCAACACGGCTAACGCAGGAGCGGCCATATGCACTGAAGAAACCTGCTCCAAGTTTTCTGCGGCGTCCATTTCAGTTACACAGCTGTGACCGATTTTCCAGTTCTTATGTTTAATTTTGTGTATGCTATCTTTAATTTGCGACAGTTTGTATTTTGACTTCAGACGAAAAAAGATGCTGTTTGCGTATGTAAGCAGGCGCCACGTCTTTTCGAAAAGTGCCGCTTCGCCAGGCGCTTCATCTTCCGCGGCCATTCCATGAGCGCGTGTTGATACCAAGTTATATGCTTTCAGTTACGTCAAGACAGCCATACATTCCTACGGTCCTGCTTGCCGCGTGCAACTGTGGCCAACATGCTGCCGCACAAGCGCGCTGACACACCACGACTTTTCGCCAAGAAAATTTACATACACTTGTACAGGCGCATTTTTCGAAACGCACGTGCGCATCCGCGAGGCAAAATTCGCTCCTGGCTTTGGGGACGAAGTACGGAGGGTCTATTCGGCAGAGTACGACCGGACACATTTGTGCGAGGGGCTGCTTAAATAGGGGGGTCCTTGTGAAGCAGCTGGCCGCGTTTCCAAAGCACGTATGGTGTTGGATTGTAAGGTGCCCAAGTACGTTTGCGAGGAAGAGAATGTGGCCAGGTTGGAGAGGAAAGTGCAGTGGCATATTGGAATGTGGGATTAGCGTAAGCGAGTTACAGGGCGTTTTATTGCACGGGCGAGTTTACGTGCAAATCTTTCACCGTAGCATCAGTCCTCAGTTCACTTCTTGGAACGAACATCAGCATAGGTGCAAGCCCTCTCGCTTGGGGGGATATGCAAACAAACATCCTGATAGGGGTAAACTCGCACGCTACCGAGCATTCAACCGAGCACATGCATGCTTAGTTGAATGGTGAGATGCGACCCCCCCTTCATTTCGTGCTCGGCAAGCCTGCCACCGCGTACCGGATATGTTGGCGATGTTACAGAACGCTGGACCTTGGTTTCTGTGCGCAATGCGTACGATGCTCGACCCCGCCGACCAAAACTACACGTGCCCAACTGAAGACATTCCCGGTGGTTGTGCAGCAGCTCTCGAGGCTGTTGCTGGCTGAAATCCATCCTGAGCTGTTGCAACACGGCTAACGCGGGCACGTCCCTATGCACAGCAAATAGCTGTTCCAAGCCAACAGCGGCGTCCATGTCACCGACAAGGCTCTAAACGTCTTATCTGTTCTTATGTTTAATGAAGTTTATGTATGTTATACTTTGCGCAACTTTGTAATTTGACTTTACTCTGAACAAGGTGCTGCATACAACTGCCTCTTCGCCAGCGCTTCATCTTCCGCGGCAGTTTCACGAGCCCAGAGCTGCAAGCTACGACGTTGGCTTTCGGTGCTTTTATTTACTGCAAAGCATCCACGCAATAGTCCAGCGTGCGGCTATGGCCAACATGCTCACCTGCGCAACGCGCTGGCGCACCTGGTCCTCATCCGCCAAGAAATTTTATATACATTTGTACAGGCGCATTTTTCGAAACGCACGTGCGCATCCGCGAGGATGCGATTGTTACAGTGGACCCCGAACGGGTCGAGTGCAGCGCCCATAGGAACGCCTCCCGCACAACACTGTGGGCCTTATTCAAAAAGAACTCGGCCAGGCCGTACTAACTTCACTGGACACACGGCCTCAGTTAGTACGCTTAAACAAAAAATTGAGGCTCCGACGTGCGCCCTCAAACTTCGTCATTGTATATCGGTAAACGGCAAGCAACCATGTCTGCGTCATTGACATATAAGAAAGGGTGATTGTGAGGTACATGATCCCAATGTTTTGGCAAGTAATCCCGTGCCGCAAAAGCAGTTAAACGGGCCCAAAAGTCAGAGATAACCTCGTATGTAATGCGGTTAAGCGATGGCGTTGATATAGGCATGATGGTCTGGAGACCTTCCTTAAACAACAAACGGCGACCGAGATTGAGTGAGCTGATGGCCGCGAGGCATACAACCTCCCATACACACGAACAAATCCAGGTTGGTGGAATGCCCAACCACAGGTTAGCCCGGTTGAAAAGGTCAGGGAACTCAAGTTCGTTTTGCAGAGCTTCACGAAGAGCCAACGCGACAGTACAATCCCAGAAATGATGCCGACGATCCCCACAAAGCATGCGTACACCACAGGGGCACATAGCAGCCGGGATACCTCTTTGACGTTGCGCCCTATGCATAGGAAAGGCAGGGAAACCATCAAGAGCCAGCCTCCAAAAGGCTTCTTTATGCTCGTTATCCCACCGAAGTCTCCACATGCGCGACAAAGTACGACGGAATTCCAACAAAGTATTGGCCAAGTTCTCCGGCGATAAGACGATATCAACAGCATCCAAAATAAAATCTTCATGTTTGATATCAAGCGTTCGTAAAGAAGGTGCCATTAGTAAAGTCGTCGCAAATTTAACCGTTACTTGAGAGAAATGCAGTAACACTTGACCAAATCTCCATCCCAAGCTTTTGACAATTTTCTCCAGGCCTCTTGCGGAGGCGGTATTTCATGGTTTCTGTCATTAATAGCTACTATCGCCGCTATGGTCCATTGCGGGGGTAGGCGGTCGATAAGTTGCGATATACGCGTTATGGCAGTCGCCCCCGACTGACACGATGCCGGCAGGGGATGCCTCGGCGTAAGCCCTAATATGCCCCGTACCACGATAGTACGAAACAGATTCGTACAATGAAAGTGTTGCGCCTCAGTAAGGCCTTGTACACCAACCATGCGCACCAAATTCCACGTAGACGACATAGCTGTGTGGCATCGTACGGCCATACCTACGGTATCTAACCCACGCAAATTTCTAAGATCACCAAAATGTTCGTCCAACTGAGCGTCATTTAGCAAAGGGTTTCCCCAAAGAGGGATATGGTAACACCAAGGACCCGGAGCTAGATGTTGCGCATCCAGAAGGACAGGTTGTGGTAGGGAAGTCATAGCTGATAGAATTCGTGTTAATGCCGGACAATCATTCGGCACAGGCCTACCCAGGATAGTAGTGACACGGCCATCTCGTACATCTCCCCTAACGGCCAACAGACATAATGGGTGGGCTGCCGGGTGGATATGACGCAATATTGCCAGTAATACCCGAGTCCACATGGGGTTAGTTTCCAACATACCAGCCATACCAAGGATTGCACGACAGGACAAACAGGCAAATCGTGCACGCAGATGTTCGTGCAAAGGAATAAGACCGAAACCTCCAATGGCAGGAGGAAACGGCATGTATGCAACTCCCACACC